GAAACACAGGCTGACCACTGCTCCGGTGCTAGGCTACCCAAACTACAGCCTACCATTTATCCTTCAGACTGACACCTCTGGGAGTGGGCTTGGTGCAGTCTTAGCACAAGCGCAGGATGTAATAGCGTCCGCCAGCAGGGGGTTGTAATGGAGCAGCTATTGTGGAGTAGTTTTGCACATACCGCCTGTAGTACCCTGCAAAGCCCAGGAACTGAAAGAGTAATAGCGTACGCCAGCAGGGGGTTGAGCCCAGCAGAAACCCGGTATCCAGCACACAAGCTGGAATTCCTTGCTCTGAAATGGGCAGCGACGGATAAGTTTTATGACCACCTCTATGGACGCAGGTTCTCTGTTGTGACTGACAATAACCCACTCAAGTACGTGATGACCTCGGCTAAGCTGGACGCTACGGGCCAGCGGTGGGTGTCCCAATTATCTGCGTTTAACTTTGACGTCCAGTACCGGAGGGGGCGGAGCAACACTAATGCTGATGCGTTATCCCGTCTGTCTAACCGCAAAGTCACCCAGGTCCTACAGACCTATCCTCAACAGGTGAGAGCCCGTCGGCTGGAGGGAACACAATCCGCCTCAGCAGCTGGAAACAGTGACATTGCTTCACCAGTGGAGGCCGAATCCTCTGTGCAGTCTAGTGAACCCTATGTGGGTGTGGGGACTGAGTCGCTCCCTGCTATGACAAAACAGGAGATTCGTGCAGAACAGAAGGGAGACCCAGTTATTGGCCATGTATTGCATTTCAGAAGCCGGAACCAAAAGCCTAACCGCAGTGAGAGGGCTCGAGGCGACGGGCTGGTGCGCCTTCTCCTAAAAGAGTGGAGGAGGTTAGCGATAAAGGATGGTATCTTGTACCGCTGCATCAGATGGTGCCAGAGAGGGGTAGTGGAACAGTTGGTGTTGCCTGAGAAGCTACGCACAGTGGTAATGACTGCTCTCCATGATGATTCCGGGCATTTGGGATTTGAAAGGACATTGCAGGCAGTAAGAGAGAGGTTTTACTGGCCGAAGATGTTTCAGGAAGTCAAGGCATGGTGTGAGAAGTGCCAGAGGTGCTGTCTTAGGAAGACCCCGACTGCAGGCCTCAGGGCTCCCCTGGTTAGCGTCCATACTAGCACCCCCATGGAACTAATATGTGTAGATTTCCTGATCCTGGGGAATCTAGGGGTGGCATGGAAAATGTGCTTATCGTGACAGACCATTTTTCCCGCTTCACACAGGCCTACCCCACCAGAGACCAAAAAGCCTGCACAGTAGCCAAGGTACTATGGAGAAACTTTTTTAGCCGTTTTGGTTTCCCTGTGAAGCTGCATGCAGACCAAGGGCGAAATTTTGAAAGTGCGGTGGTGAGAGAGCTGTGTAAGTGTACCGGCATCACTAAAACCCACACTACCCCCTACCACCCTCAGGGAAATGGAACCACTGAAAGGTTTAACAGGACACTCCTAAACATGTTGGGGACATTACAGCCGCATTTGAAACCCCGCTGGCATGAGTACGTTGATGCGATGACACATGCCTACAACTGTACGCAACATGATTCGACTGGATACACACCATACTATCTGATGTTTGGCAGACACCCCAGACTCCCAGTCGACCTGATCTTTGGACTGTCCACGGAGAACGAGCAGTGTGAGTACAGTGATTATGTCCAAACTTTGCACGACAGCCTGTCACAGGCCTATGCTCAGGCAAACAGGATGTCTCGGCAGGCTAAGGGGCACCAGAAAGAGTACTATGACAGAAAAGCGAAGAACCAAGTTTTCAGCCCAGGGGATAGGGTCATGGTTAAAGTGTGCCATGTTGAGGGGTGGCAGAAACTGAGGGACAGATGGAAGTCTCGTCCGTACGTTGTGGTCAAGAAACAGCCCGACATTCCTGTGTATGTGGTCCGCACAGAGGATGGTGAGACAGAGAGAGTAGTCCATCGAAATCTCCTCACACAGTGTATGTTCCTCCCAGTGGAGGAAGCAAATGAAGCAGCCGGCATGGATGTTGGGCCGGGATTGGAGGAAAGTGATGTGGGCACTGAGTCGGACCCAGCGGAGGAAGAGGAATTGGATGAGACAGAGATACGGGCAGAGAGGGCTGAACCGGAAACCACAGGGACGGGACCTGGAGACAGGGGGACAGGGTCAACAAGTGAAGGAACGGAGGTGGATGAAACTGCCAGCGGCGACATCTTGCCTTGGAATTCCACAACGCCTAGAAAAAACCCTCCAAGGAACCGACAACCGCCAAAGAGGCTGTCCTATGAGGCACAGGTTAAGCTGTTGGAGAGCCACCAGCAGAAGATACAGAAGGGGTGGGAGTTGTGGCAGAGAGTCAAAGCCAGAAGAGCTGCGGGCCTCATTTAGTAGCACAGATGTAGAACATTTAAATCACAGCCACATACACCCATACACACATTGTGGGGAAAAAAAAAAAAGCGGGGGGAGGTCACTCACTTGACTTTTCGTTTTTTGTGTGTGTCCGGTGTTGGTCGATCTGTGTTGTATTTGGACTGATGTGATGGCAGGGTCGCCATCAATTAAAGGTGGGGTGGATGTAGGGCAGTGACTCGAACTAGCCACTAAGTGTC